CAGGAATCGGAGGATCACGGCCAGTATGTTCATACCGTATCCTAATCGCCATTTCAGAAATGAAAAACTGGGACTAGCACTGATGAAAATGCCAAAAGGCTTTGTGATCCCTCTGCAGACAGGCCGCACCATTCCCATTGCTCAGGTTTTATACTGCGCTACTAGTGAGCATCCACCATCACCAACATCAGACTGTGACTCACACAGTTATGGATTTCAACCATTTGATAATTTTTAGCACAACTATCTGAACATACACAGTTATTTTAAGTATTCAGATTGGGGACCAGAACGATGCTTTGCTGTACAGCTACCACAAGGAGCAAATGGTTAATAGCCAAACTGAAAAAAGCTCTCCAGTAACCTAGAGCTTGAAAGTTTGTGGCCCCTGCTTTTGGGAGAGACCATGCACACTGTCCTTCAACACAAGGTAGGATCTCCAAACAAAGATTTCACACATACAGTGGGGAAAGATATATTTGCAGTAGATATTATCTGTAAATAACCTAAATTAAAACAAATTACTCACTTTAAAATGCTACTGTAGAAACAAAATAGCTATCTTTCTGTTAAACTTTCCATAGATTTTCCTCATATGTCTAATTTTAGTGCTGCTACCTAGGAAAAAAAAAAACCATCAGCTGTATTTACTGAGGTGCAAGTGATTGAAACAACACCCTCTGTGTTACTTACAGCTATCTCTTCCACTGAAATCTGACACAAAAGTAATTTTTTGCACTTACAGTGCTGTTATCAAGACTGGATTTTTTTTTTTCTACTCATTTTTTTTTTAAATTTATTTTAGAGCCTCAGAATACATTATTTCAGCCTGCTACTTTTATGAACCTCTCAGTGTGGCTTAATCTTCTTCAAAAAGGCCATAAGTACATGGTTGTTAAAGCAAATCTCCCACTTTCCTCTCTGTATTCCAGGAAAAAAGCATCAGTAACAGTATTTTTTTTTCCTCACATCAGCAACTCCAGAATTTCCAGCTGCAGTATTTACTGGAATAAGGTCACTTACTTCGCAGAAAGCAAGTTAATGCCTATGGGCCTAGGAAATACTATTTTGCTCCCACTTAAGAGCCAAGTAGGTACAACAGTGATACGAAACTCAAAACATTAAAAAGGGATCCATACTTTTCCCCTACAGAAAGGGCTGTAGGGAACACAGGACATGGACGTTGTCCTCCTAGAAGCTCAGAATACATTTAGGGTGATCATTCTCGTTAATAGGTTAACTTATTTGATCGCTACAAGTTAAGCACTTTAACAGCAAGTTAACACTCAACCTTCATTTTGGATCCACAATCCATTGCCTAGGTGCTGTACAAACATGAAAAAAATGCTTCTATGTATATACAGTTTACTGTGTTAACTTGTCATTAAGCTAAACAAGGGGGGGAAAATGCACTTTGGCCATCAAAACTGTTTAAATTAGAAGATGCATTTAAAGAAGTATAGTAACAGTAAGGTTCTTCCAAACCCACATGGGGCACAATAAAAGCAAAAGGATAGACAAGATGGTGTTTTTCTCAACCACTGAGAAGACAACCAGGGTAAGAAAGGTGATAACAGTATTCAGTTAAAAAAATAGAACTGATGGTTTCAGTAGGAAGAGAATACTTACTAGAATGTTAAATAAAAAGTTAACAAAGCCATTACAGAGTTACACTATCTCACTCACTGGCTTCTTTCCCTTCAGCCTGGGGAACTGAAGGTCTAGGACCTTCTCAGGGGTCATGGCCCTTGGAGAGAAGGGAGTGCAGCCGGCTGGGGCTGAGGGACAAGATCTTCATGATGGGATCTGCTCATCAGCTCCACCAAGACTGTTGGTATCACTTCTAAGTGATTTTGATTCACTTAGGGTTTCCCCCCCATTCTCTTTCCCCTGCTTCCTTTACCCAATACCTTCCCACATGAAAAGCTAGGGAAGCAATCTATCTGAGCTTCAGCTGGAGTCAGGACTGTGCTGGCACAGGGTTTCCATGGCTTTTGGGAGATCTGTAGGTTTCAGGAGATGAACTGCCTTGCATAACCAAACCCTGTGCCCACAGTTCCTCTGGACAATGAAGCCATAATTCGGGGCAAGGGGCAAAGGATCACTGCTTTCCCTTTCTCTGTACAACAGCTTATGTACAGGAGGATTTGGTATATGATTGGAAAACAAAATTGTCTAGCTTTACTCCAAGGATAGATTTTCATGCTTTCCTGCCAACACCTACCTATGAATCGTTTACACTCACAAAACCACAGGTACATACACACTGCCTACTCTCGGGCTGCTCTGCATTAACACCATAGAAGGTGCATTTACTTGGTGGCATTATGTGCTCGACTCTTCTGACGTTTTTCACCATATTGATGGGGAAATAATATTTTGGTGCTTTTTAAATACAGTTTGTCAAAACAGCTAAGCTAAGCTAATGGCAACTCCATGGGTAAAAGTGGTCCTGCTCTCCTACTCCTTCTTCTATCCCTGGCACTAAGTGTCTGCACTTCTTCCTCTAGCACTACAGTGCTGCCCAGTATTGGCATCCTTCTGGTGCACATGCCTGAACTGGGGACATCCTATCGCTCCTGTTCTCTTTCAACAGACTTGGTAGAAAACAAAGGAATGCCCAAACCGCAGGGAAACAAAATTTTCTGCAGGTCTGCAATCCTATGTACCGTTTTGCTAACTGTATTTTAGTTCTCTAGTGTTACTGTTAATATTCAGCTGACATTTCTGGGGAGGTTTCAGAGCAGCCTTCTAGGGAGTAGCAGTATTAGAAAACAAATTACTTTGGCACAGCCACAGCACAACATACTCCCTAGCCAAGCTCCATACAGACACAATGACAGGATGTGGACAGCAAAAAGATGCACTCAGACTATCTATAGCTCCTCCAACACATGTGAGATTGACCACTAGAGGAAAGAGTATTAACGATTTGTCCGCCTGGCAATATTCAGCAATACAATGTTGCTACGCACACACACACAAAAAATAATCAGTAAGACCTCTAAAAGTCTTTCATCATCCTTTGACCTTGACACAAAACTCAGCAGCCCTAAGTTTCTTTCAGGCTTGTACCCTGCCAGTGGGAATGTGAATTTTGGACTTCAATACTTGTTCAGAACCATACTTGAAATACCTAGGTATAGGCAGAGTTAACACACACTATTAGATTTTTGTTGTTGTTTTAAACATTGACAACTATTACAGGGCACAGATTTTCATAGACACAACCCTCTTGCTTTCAGCCAAGAATAGCTGAGGACCCCATCTGTACACTTCCAGTTACTGTCATCTAAAACACCAGGCTAGGCAGATTCCAGGCTCTGCGAGGCAGGCAGAAACAGGGAGCTGCATGAATGACCAAAGGTATAGAAGGTGCAGGCCATCAGCAACACACTGCTTTGTCCCCCTAAAACTTTAAGTCATTCTGGGCAAAAGCTTGTCAAAATGAGCTCAAATCTAGGCTGGAGAGTGGTAACAGAGATGAAATCAAGCTGTGATCAGTGAATTTTCTTTGGAATGCAATCTAGAACATGGACCAAAAGCCCCCAAAGAACCAGTGTAGAAGCAGTGAACTCATGCCACCTGGTGGTTAGCATCTCGTCTGGAAACACGGGGCAACCGAGTTAATGGCAGAGATTAGTAGCAAAACCGTGTAACTACATGATGAACTGCAAAGCTCAGGTGCCCCTTTTCATTTCTTTCAGCACAAGCAGGTTTAGTGAAGAAGCACACACCAAAGCCCACAGGAAGTACAGCCCCGTTAACAGCCTGAAGGACAGATGGCAAGAGTGGGCCGACCAGCACATCATAACACAAAAGCTGAATCCCTTCAGCGAGGAATTTGACCACGAGTTGGCCATGTCCACACGCCTGCACAAAGGAGATGAAGGCTACGGTCGTCCAAAGGAAGGAACCAAAACTGCTGAAAGGGCCAAGAGAGCCGAGGCCCACATCCACCGGGAGATGAGGGACATGTGCTTCATCATTGAATCAATGGCTAAGCCACGGCCTGACGGCAAGATCCAAGTCACTTTTGGGGAACTCTTCGAGAGATATGTTCGTATTTCAGATAAGGTTGTTGGGATTCTCATGAGAGCCAGGAAACACGGGCTGGTGGACTTTGAGGGAGAAATGTTATGGCAAGGAAGGGATGACAATGTCATAATAACTTTATTAAAATAAGCATGCTACAAAAACAGCATGGAAAACTTTTCTCCACTATAAAAATCTATACTGAATATCAAGCACCTGAATAAAAAAACCTCATAGCAATATAAATAGCTACAAATTAATTCCAATTTTAACTTATTCTTACATTCAAGATCATCCCAACTATTTAAACTGGGATATCAGGAATACAAACCATGTCAGACCAGAAGCTGAATGTCAATTTAAACTCAGACTAGGTTTTTGATCTGTGAAAGTGATCTTGTGCATATATTTCTATATTAACAATATTATATTAATTAATTACATTAATAAATATTAATCTATTTAAATGTATGTAAAAAAAGTTTTATATGAACACAGAATCAAGGATATGACATTCATTTCCTTTACAAACAGGACATGCATTAGTGCAGTATCACTTTATGGCAACTTTGACATAACTTATTTTACATATCACATACAAACTAAGACAAAATCCTTATTTTTATAAATGAAGTTCTATATTTAATGTATTTATATAACTAATTTATTAGATAGTTTCATATTTAGAGTTATGGATGTTGGAGAGAAAACACCCAATAGAATGTAATGCACAAAAAATTTCTGAATCGATAGCCACATCAAAAATACCTCTTATGCAACGTTGTGCAATGTATCATTTGATTATCCATGTAAATACGGTTCTTATAAATACAGGGGAAAATAATATAACATATAAAAAACCAGTCAGACACTTGTACTGTTGTGTATAGCAAAAAAGTGACCACAATCAGCATCTTCGATTGAAATGTCCCTCTGTGAGAAAAGATACAGAAAGAGTGTTCCTACCTAAAATCAACTAATATCAAGTAAAACGGTGTTATACAGAAACACTGGCCTAATTTTACAGCATTTATCATTTGAACCATTCTGATGTTATTGAAAAAATATAATCCAGTCCCGGTAATGCTGAAGAGGAGTAAATGCTAATAAACTAATACTTCTAGGTCTTAAAATTGTATTATACACAAACCTGAGACCTCTGTAAGGTCTATAATGCTTACTGGATTATATCGATCACTGTTTCTCTACAGTGAGAAGCTACCTTAAAAACAGCTACCCTGATAAAAATGTGCTTCACATGAAAAGCATTTGTTCCCAAGCAAGATGCCTGGGCAAGTAATTTCCATAATGAAAAAATAAATGGGTTTTTTGGTTGTTTTGTTTTCCCATAAGATTCTTTCAAACTGAAAGAGTAAATATCTTCTTACAGAAGGAAAGGTATATTAAGAACTTGTCTCAGTGATAAAACAAGTATTGCTAACTTACTATGAGTACAGGTACTCCAGTTTGAAGCTCCAATGAACACACAAATCAAATATTTAAGTTAGTGATACAAGAACTGATTACTATGTCTAAAGTCTATGTAAATAATTAATATTTTAGGCACAGTTGAATGTTGTGAATCTAAGGAAGCAAAAACCTTAATCATAAAATGGATTCAGTGTAACTTATTTAATGTTTTCTTGAGATCTCTCTGACTACTCAAGCTGACCTGCAAAACTGACCTCTAAGTATAAAATCTACATAGCAGAATATTTACCAGCATATTCTTACCTTATTCTGTATGTCTTTATTTAATGATCTGAACAGTTGTCTAAATGGTCTTGAGGAAATTTGGCTGTCAAAGGAATACATGAACTATAAATAAAACCCTTAAATGATTCCTTCTGGGCTTATTCCTTCCACACACAAGAGAAGAAATACATGCACATATTCTGTGAAATAAAACATAAATATGTTTTTTTTCACAAATAAAAAGTACATTCTCCTGTTCACAGGCCATTAAAATATTTCCCTGGGAAGGTTTCTCTGTCCAAAGCAACAGAACAAGATTCCAGAGTGCGTGGAAATGAAACAGTTCTTCTACAAAATAACTGTACAAAGAATACACACTAAAGGCACATAAGTGTTTAGTGAACTAAGTATTTCTGCTCAAGTGAACTCATCCTACCACAAGACAATATAGAAGAGAGATAGCTCACCACAGATGTTTTTTCAGTGTTATGCTCACGTGTGACCTAAAGTCCAAGAACACCTCATCACTGTATGAGGATTCATATACATCTACTTTAATTCACTGACCTGAGACAGTAGGAGTGATATACTTTTGTACTGAAACACTCAAAGCATAGTATACCGAGGTACATTTCAATATTCTGCATATTTAAAGCATGCACTTGTGCTCTGACATGAAGCCTATGCCATCTACTACTTCATCTCCAGGGAAACATCTGAAAACACAACTAGGCACATACTGCTGAAGTAGGAATCAAAAAAACCTTCCCAGTTTAGGTCTTGAGCCAACAAAGTAGCCTGTAGAAACTGCAGAGTAAATTAAGTTTTTCCACTTCTTCCTACCTGACATTTGACTTTTTGCAGACTTCTATATGCCCACCAGAAGTCATTTGGGACAAGACTACACTTTAGTGGTTTCATAAAATGCATATACTCATAGTGCAGGCAAGAGAGGCATGGACAGACCTAAGCTGCAGGGCAAACTTCTCAGCTGAATTGTAATTCAGTGACAAAAGAGACGGGGAACCTTCCCATTTTCTCCTTTATGGAATGCATTCAAACACATTCAGCAACAGAATGGACCAGTGGCACTACCCTCTTGAATCTCAGTATTTCATTTACCTGATGTTTTCTTGCATATTGGAACACCCAAATATATGTATGTATTTATACTTACCAGATAGGATAAAAACAAGATTACAGGTTTAGAGAAAGATAATATTAGATCAATTAACACCTGAGGGAAAACAAGACAAGCCTTCAAGCTCACAAGCCCTCTTCAAATCTCTCCTTGCCTTTAATTCCTTCAATCAGCTGTGTAACAATGGAATCACTACTATAAATCTATAGCTCACTGCAGATAACTTCTTAAGTCTTTCATTCATAATCATCCTAAAGTAGTGTTAAAAACTTTATGCAACAAAACCAACTTCTTGTACTTTTCCACCCAAGGTATTTTACTTCCAACTGGATAAGAAAACCACACATGTTTTATGGCTAATGATGCTGCATACTGTCCTCTCTCCATCATTTACTTTTGAGTAGGTAGTACCATATAAAGCCTTCTAAATGGTAAAAAGTATTTAAAGTTTTTGTGTAAGAGAAATATTAAATATTGACATAACTTATGATGCATGGAAGTGTTTCAGGTAGGTTAAATTAACATTTTTTTACATAAAGATGTATGACACGTTTATCCATGCAAAATAAATGGAGAAAACAAATCTGAATTAATTACAAAACAACTGAACAACAGTACTCCAAGAGTTATCCAGTCTAACTTTCCTACTATATTGTCACTGTTATATTCCTGTGAAACCTCTGCCAAATTTAAATATTCCACTTAAATTTGAAGTAGTAAGATTACGAAGGTCAAACTACTTGATTAAAGCAGTCTTCATAGATTTTAGATTTTTGCTTTCCTGTTTCTGATTTGCTTCAAAAATAAAAACTTTAACCCTTCAGATAGAGTGAGCAACACTTAGTTACTGTCATGGTAGCTTACAGTTGCAAATTATTTCCCTACTGTATTCACCCCCCAAATGTTTTATTTGATGGTAGCTTACAGTTGCAAATTATTTCCCTAAATACTGTATTCACCCCCGCAAATGTTTTATTTTAAACAGATTTCCTTCTGGTAAGTAACATTTCCCTCATTTTCCTGTATGGTTTTACAAGGGTTGCGTAGTTTGCTAGGAAAGCAAAGTTCCTTCCTCAGTATCAAGAAAATCATCTCTTCTTTTGTAGGAACTATGAATTATATTTTCCATATTCTGAATGTACCTTTCATGCTTAAGTGACAGCACAAACTTTTTATCACAAAAAAATAGGTTTGATTTTCACACCTTTTCATTTCTTCAAGTCTTACAACAGTTGCTGTAGTGGCTTGCAGCAAGTAGATGGTTCACTGGATGTGTATCCCACCCACCAGAAATGAGCTCCTTCCTCCATGGCAATAATTCCTTCTTTAAAAGGTTTCTGTACAGACAGGTTTCAGTATTAAAGCTCATTTTTAAAACAAGGGAATGCTACTGAAATAAATTAGCTGTAGTGGAAAGTGTAATATTTGTGGCGAGACGTTCAATTATCACTGATCACAGAACAAATATTGGCAAGCTCTGTCACCACAGCTGCTTCAGCTGCTACATATACATTGCATCACACCAACACCTCAGCTGAAGTCACTCCTGGCACCACAGGGCACACTGAAAGCAATTCAGTGCTCAACAGCATGTGTACTACTGTCAGCATAACTACTACAACAGAAAATCAACAAGTATTACAAAGCTTGTCAGATAAGCAGGACAGCAGAAAGCAGAGCTTAAACAGACCTAACACTGGTGATAGTGCAGTGGGACAGGCAGCAGGACCACTTTGGTTTGTACATACCACAGTAAGAATGAGTGTCCATCATTCACTCAGCTGGACTCTCTCTCTGCTCCAGTACCACAGTGTTGTTTTATTTCACGTTGCAGTAGCACGTACTCTTAAGGGGAGAAAGACTAGAAGTTTGTTCCCTTAACTGAGCTCCCTATTACTGTGACAACAGTAAACCACCCTGACAACCTTTACAAAGGAAGAATGTAAGAGTGAAATTCAAGTCCTGAATGAGGGATATTGGGCAGTATCCAAATCAAGGTTATTTTTTAAATGTGAAATTGAGTGAGTAGTAAACATTTTTACTCCTCTTCAAAGACTGGATTTCATGCAGACATACTAACTCCCATACAAAAAAAATACATATATATCTAATATAGTATATATACGTGAGCAGGACGATGCAAGCATAAGCCATACATGAACTCATGTTATTTTGCAAATATACAAAAGCAGTAATTAACATAAATAGGATTTAGAGCTCTAAGATAGTGTGGTAAGAATCCCAGGTATCTCAGCAAAACATCAGTTAGTCAATTAATACACCTGAGTACCGAGTATTCTGAGACAGAGTCTTCTGGCATCGAAATCTTTCAAAATGTAGCTCATAAA